GTTATAAGTATTAATAGCTTATTAACTAGTCGAATTATTATAGTCCCTCTGTGTTAAAAAGTAAAGTAAATGAAAAAAAGTAAAAGTATCAATAAAAGTAAATAAAAGTATTAACAACGTGAATAAGTTATTTCCTTTCTACAAGGCTTTTAAATTTATTCCAGTTAGATAAAAGTTAAAAAGACGACTAAATGATACTAGATTTCAAATACATGTTTATTGGCATGAATGAATCCCACTTTCACTCTCAAAGCATCATATTATCTGTGCGGGTTAAACTGTTTAGGAGTATACGTTCGGTGGTACATGGTCCATCTGCAAACATTATAAATTATAAATGAATACATGTTTATAATATATAAGTAAATATATATTTATAACATTAGCTATGTTCTACAATGATGATTAAACCATTTGTACATATTGCAAAAATTGTATAATTTAATACAAAAGTCACAAAATTAAGTAATTTGTTTCGTACGTTTATAAATATATTTCTTATATTTTATACTTTATATTAGAACTTACCTAATCGATACCAATCATCTGTATTTCCCGTTTCTGCCCTAGCAGAGTTCAATGCATTGCGAATTGCTATCGGAATTACGCAACTCATACAAAGCGGTGGTTCACCGGTTGCTACAAAGAAATTTTCATGATTAATCAGTCAGTAGTCGATTCTTTAACGTTTCCAATTCTGATATTGTTATATGCTAAACGAATTTTTTTTATTTCTAAATGTTTTCATTTTATTCCAAATTTTACTTCAAATTTTATTTAGCTTATTTAAATTAAATTATGAATTAGTGAAATATAAATCTTGTAAATCGACTAAATTTTTATGGATTTAAACATTTTTGTAAAAGAATTTCTATAAGTTTTTTAATTGTACGCAAATATGTAGAAAATATTTAAATTTTTTTTTTAATAGTAAATGGTGATTCGAATGAAAAGATTCGCAAGGTTTTTGCTTTCACCTTTCGAACCATAGATACCAATTTTGTTGACCGAGTTTTTGCGTAAAAACACGCGAAAATCTTCAGGAATATCCTTCGCTCCTGGTGGTTTATAGTTCTATGAGAGAAACAGAATATTTTAGATAATTTATAATTAATATTTCTAGAATAATATCTCTCGGAATCGGAACAGTTACATATTTCGCAATATTAGCTTTAATGAAATTTGATAAAAATAACGTACCCATGTTCTGTCACTCTTTAATACTCCTGTTTCAGGATCGTATACCAGATCCTCAGAAGTCCAGTATCCTATTCCCATCACGAAAGCTCCCTCCACCTGACCGATGTCGATCTCCGGATTCAAACTTATACCGGCGTCTTCCATCAAATCGACCCTCCTGATAATGTGCTGGCCGGTCAACACATCGATCTCCACTTCGGCGATAGTGACGCCGTAAATGCCGTAAGGCAACATTTCGACGTTCAGCGTGCTCGCCAACCTGCCAAGGTAAGTGTAACGTACAATAATTAATGATTTGTAAAACGACAAAAAATTGTCCTTTCCATTTTATAAATGCAATATTTAAATCTATTTATTTATGGGTATCATATTGAAAGAACTGTTTAAATAGATCTAATTCATATTATGAGAAATGCAAACGTTTAAATTATATTTAAACTAAATTTTTCACAATTTATCAATTATTACGAACAAAAATAATGATTGTTTTTTTCCAAATAAAAGTATAACATCTTTGGAAAAATATTGAAATAATGCTTTATATCGATTTATATATCGATATATAACATTATATAACATATTTATAACATATTTATTGGTATGTTAAATACGACTGATGAGCCTAATGATATTTACATGTAACGTGCACTTAAATCAATTTCCTTTTGATACGCCGAAAAAACGATATCCTTCCAGCTCGGATTATCCATTAGTTTTTTTATCGGTTCCAGTCTCTTCAAAATTTCTTTGCAAGCTTGGATCGTTGCCTAAAATAAATACAATCAACGTTACATTAAAATTGATGTTGTGCAAATATCATGTTGTCTTTGAAAATGTAGAAATTGAATTTAATTCTTACGTATCCGCAGGCCTCGGTAGTAATGCTACCTCCTGTAACTGTATTGTTCGGTGTTGCTAAATTGTTGCTTCGTTTAACAGTGATTAATTCGAGATCAATCCCCAGTGTATAAGCTGCTATTTGAGCGACCTAATACAAGAATTATTTTTAAATGGCTGAAAATGTAAAGTCTTTTAAAATTTAAATAGAACAAAGAAAGCCTTATATTTTTATTAAACAAAATTCCTTTTAATTTAAATTAATCTATAAAATAATTAATTTTTATTCTAGATAAAGAAAACATATCCAGAATAGAAAGAAACTTACACAAATCTATAGTAATCGCAAATATTAAAATTTCAATCCTGATTTTAAATTTGAAAGTATTGTAGCTATTCAATTTTGTTAGAATGAATTTTTTTTCTCATTATTAACTTTCCCTTGTCCATTAGCTTATCGTTCAATGAACGAATAGGGCGAAAGAACTTGGTTGGATAAACGATTGCATTTTTATACCTTGGTATTTATACCTTGACCGATTTCGATTCCGCCATGCGTCACGCAAACCGAACCGTCGCGAGCGCAGACCGACACCATTACGTTGAATTGCCCTGCATACAATATTGGATACTTCATCGTCACCATGGCTATTCCCTTTTTTTTCCAACGATTCTGATTGTTGAACGTTTCAACGGCCCGCTTCCGCTTTTCGTAATCGGCTGATTTCGACAAATCCTTTACCATGGTTTCTAATGGGATTTTATCCAAAATGTTCATATTCGACAATCTGACCTGCACCGGATCCTTCTTCGTCACTTTCGCAATGTGCTCTATCATATTCTCGACCATGGCTATTCCTTCCGTGGACCCCGGCGCTCGACAATGCGTATTCGATGGTATATCGGTTCGTACCTCGAATCCATTCAAAGTCCATCTCTCGGTTGCATAGCAATTACTAATAATAAAAAATCCATTGTGAGTATAGATCTATTAAAAAACTAAAAATTAATCATGATAGAGTGTTTTAATTTGATTTAAGGTAAAGCAATTCTAGGAAATTATTTTAATATTAAATTAATATTACTGCAATATTTCTTTTTTGTTGAATTTGATGCAAGATTCAATATGATATGATTAAAACTTATCTTAACATTTTTCTCTGCTCGGAAATGTTCTTTTTAATTTTAAAATATTTATTATATCTAACAGGTAAATATTAATATTGGACAAATGTTAGTATTATATATTGTCATTATAAATTGTTTATGCTTTGCTATATTACCGTAGTTTTAATACCTTTTCATGAAGATAATCACTATGGGAGCGTGTGGTTCGTTGAAACTGGAACCGCAGTTGCCCCAATGTTTTGAGTTGAGATATTGGATAACTCCGTCATTGTCCACGCCGATCTCATATTCTTGACGTGTAGAATATCTCTTGCCTATTGCCTGCATATTATCTTCTATCGTCATGACAAATCGAGCTGGACGATTCAATTTGTGACATACCAGTGCACAAGCACACGAGATTTGCGCGTTGCGTGAGATTTTCGCTCCGTATGCACCGCCAAGTCGTCTGACATACACATTGATACTAGAAAAATTAAATTTACCCTATCATTGTTAATTTTATTTTACAAATTGCATTTTTAGCAACATTATTTTAATTATTTCTTTTATTGGAAAAAAGACGTAGTCCTTTTATATTTTTATGTCTAGATCATTTCAATTTTTACCTTAAATAATTTTTTTTTAAGTTTTACGATTTTGTCTTGTAAATCAATATTGAAGTGATAAACATTAAATCACAGTAGCACAATATTTTGGGAAGAAGAGAACATTTATAACGGCTTAACTCGAATAGATTACATTATTACGATTGGATCAATGATAAAATTACTTCGACATAGTTGAGACAGCAACTCAATGAACTAAGTTAATTAGATTGAATTACCTATTATTTTTAACATTGAGACAATTCGCGATCGATACTTGAATGAGATCCATCCATTGCGACGATGGATAGACGTTCATACCATCCTCTACAGGAACGCACACGCAGGATTGAAGCTCCATAGTGTAATGATATTGGCTACCGCATTGAAAAACGCCCTTTATTACGTGTTTAGTATTAATTCCTGCAAAATAATGACATATTTTTATGTATTATTATATTTTTCCTAATAATTAGTAACAGCTATTTGAACTATTTCGCAAATTTGTAAATATGTAACTTATCTCATTTCTTTCAAAAAAATTGAGAGTACCCATTTTTGGAAAGATTTCTTTCTGATAATTCTATTTTTTCGCTAATTATAATTGAAAGATAATCTCAATTTAATTGGCTTCTTTATCAATTTCTACCTTTTATTAGCGCCGGAATGGTGATGCCCTTCACGATTCTACTGTTATCCCCCGAGGCGAGTGCATCCTCGATGCTTATCACCGGCTTCGTTTTCAGAGATCCGCTATACTTAATTTGCACCAATTTCGCGGCCTCGTTCGCCAAATCATGCGTCTCTGCGACGATTACGCCGACTGGCTGGCCGGCATACTGAACTTCCTTTTCGGCGAACAGCAACTCGTCGTGCAGCAACAAAAGCAACTTGCTGTCGGCTGAGATGCACAAATTCTTACCGGGTACGTCCTTGGCGCTGAAAAACGCCACTACACCCTTCATAGCAAGCGCCTTACTCGCATCTATACTATCGATCTTGCCATTACCGACTTTCGTGAGGACGAAAGCGCAAAACACTTCTCCAGGATATGGAGGTAAATCGTTGCAATACTGAGCCTCGCCCGATGTCTGTTTGATTGCATCTAACTTCGGTATGGGTTTATTTACCGGCCACATGTCTTTGTTCGTGTCGTAGTCCTGCATACCTAGAGTGAAATTGCATTTTTTCATACGCACAATTCGGACAATTAGTTTAAAATCGGAAGATATAAATTTATTTATAAATAGACAAAATTAGGGCAGCTATATTTCTAAATTTTTTTAATATCAAGATCATCAAGATTTAGCAAATTAAGATTTTAAAACAACGATGAACGCGAAATGATGTTTGTTAAACTTTTAATTGTTACAAATATAGGAGATTAGAAATTGGAGTAAAATATATTTTAATTTTTGAGCGCGTAAGAATACTTAAAAAAATGAAGATATATCTTCAAAAATGTACTGGTGGTAATTTTATTTGTACCTGAAGAAAGACCTCGTTCTAACAAGAATCCCCCACTACGAAGTTTGGAATTTACGTTGTCCGGTTTGATGCTCAACGCAAACTTATAAAATAATCCCTCGGCGAGAGTCCTGCGGAATTCCGGCGAATAGTCCGGTAGCTCATGATTTGGTTGCAGTTCATCATGCAACGTCTTCAAAGCGGTCTTCAGCACTTGATTGTCCAGAATTGATTTACCTACCAATATTAGCTCCGTATTCGACGCGTGAGAAAAATTCTTGTTGATCCCTCCAAAGATAATGTTGGGCCTCTCCAGCACCTTTCGCAAAACATTGCGCGAAACATTATATTTAACGATACTAATCTGAATAATAATATAAACAAATCTAAACTATTTTATTACCGTGCCTTTGGAGTCGAGCTTGAAGAGGAAACCTGCGTTGACGTGAGCGTGAGCATTCTGGGCTCTGGGCATGATCTTGTAAGATCTGTACACGTACTCCTCAGAAAACGGGTGCAAGACGATGCTGTAGATGATCTTATGGCGCATGTCGGTCTTCAGAAAGTCGATCAGCGTCAAGTGTTCCTTGCGACCGGATCCGTCGAGGACGTGTACTCGACAATCGGCTGTTTGTAATATCAAAAACAAATCGGACGGGAATTCGTTGTGCTCGTGCTTGATCATCAGGTTGCCGGCGATGCTGCCGATGTTTCGCACGGGCACGTGTGCGATCAAGTCTATGTGTTCGGCCAATTGACGTAGATATTTAAATCTGGTTTTCTCGGATGAATACTCTTGGAAGATTTCTATCGCCGTGGTAAGGGTCGTATTTCCGCCTAGGAGTAAGAACTCGTTGTTTTTTACGATCTGACGCAAATCTGGGATGTCGTTTATGTCAATGTAGAGGTCTTTCTTGCTCGTGCGATAAACACCTGAAAAATTAGATTTTTGATATCGTGTATGTCAAAGTTTACTTTTTAAATTTAGATTTATCGTTAATAGTATAATTGTATTAATACTCAAATGTGATGTTAGAGAATGTTTAAATTCATTGACCTTTTGGAATTGTACTTTAAAATTTTGATTGAATCTCTCTTTCTCTCTTATTAAGAGATCATTATTAATTTTATGAGAATTATTAACACATTTTCTGCTGTGTGAATCAACGGTAATTCCACTTTCCGTTTAAGCTACTATTCACTTGGAATAATTTTAACGAGTTCATCGAAGTAGATAATTAGTCGTACTAATTAACTCTTCGTATAAATTTATGTCATCAGTTAGCGCCTGTATCATTTATGTAAATGCAAGAAAATTACCATGTGCGGTATTTCCTCCATTTAATATATACGTGGCGTATGGTTTCTGTCGAAATATCGCGAATAGATCATTGATCGAGTAAACTTTGAAGAATTCAGCATCCGCTAACTTCACATCCAGCGTTGTGTTTTCGTTGGAAGATTGTTCATTGGAAGATTGCTCGTCATTACTTTCTGTATCTGGCATATTACAGTATTTTGGGCAAGCTTTGATTTTGTATAACTCCTGTGAAGCATAGTTTAACATACTTACAACAAGATGTAAATATAAAGAATTCTTATACTTTATAACAGACACATAATAATAATTATTATTATAAATTATAACAGAAAAGTAAAATCTTCTTTCTAGGAACAAGATAAAATTAAATACGAAATTTCAAAATGTTTCAAGAATAAAATTTTTCTAACAAAAATAAAATTTTTTATACGATGTCGTACCTCAATGTCGCAAATGTTCTTCACCATTGATGGGGGTGCATCGTTGGCAAATCCCTTGAAAGCATCTAAAATCGGACGATACCCGGTACATCGACAGATGTTGCTACCGAACGAATTTTCGATTTGCTGCATAGACATCTTTTTATCATGTACAAGACTGTAAATTATAAATAACAAATGCATTGATGCAGTTTTGTATCTAATTGCTTTTGAATATAAACGTTGTGCTAATTGTAAGTGTCTATAATATCTTTGTTTCAATTGGTAGCTATATTGTACGATTTTATGCACGTCATTTTTATTTACGATTTATTTTTATATTTCTTATTATTGAAAAATTGATCATTTTAGGGATATATATTTAATCAATACATTTATATTCTAATTTTTTTTTAAGAATATATTCTTCTAAGAGCAACTCTGTTATAAATATCAATAATGACAGTAAGATTTTAAAGCAAACAAACGTAATACGTTTAAAATTCTATAATATTTCTTTAATGTTACAAATTAATTAATTATTTTGAAGAACGATATATACCCATATAGATTCATCACCATTCCGGGAGAGCAATATCCACATTGCGAGCCATTTTTTGCAGCAAGCGTAGCTTGAATCGTATTATAACCATCTAGCTTGTTACCTAAGCCTTCAATAGTGCGAATATCCCATCTGTGACATTATTTGATGCATAGATATGTGAAACATTAGTTATATAATACTAACATAAACTTAATAAATCCGGAAGAAGTTAAAAACATAACTATTTATAATATATAAGAAAGTTTTACAGCTTTTAAGACTAATTTTTTATGTCATGCATAGATGACAGATTTGTAACGTTATAAGGTAAATTTTTTTATTTTCTTAGAAGTAAAATTTGATTGTGCCATTTCTCTGTTAATACAAGCATACCCGTCGCAGTTCAGTATCGATACAAGACAGGAATTTACGGCTATTGTCTTGCCCTTGATTTTTGCAGCCACGACACAGGCACCACAGCCACCCTCGTGGCACATGGCTTTTGTACCGCGAAGTTTTGCATAATCGCGAATGTAGACATTGAGGGATGTGCCAGTCGGTATATATCCTGATACTGTGTGGAAATGATTTTACAATTATAAAATTGACATAGTATTTATAACTCTCTATATAACGTATATATTTTTATCTTTTATTTCTAAAGCTCACTATTAATTAAAGCATAATAATCAAGCTTTATAATTTCTGTCATAATATAATTTCACGATTGAATGATATTTGTCGCGATAATTGATAAAAATTCTATAGTTTCTAATATCATAATTAATACTTAAATAATAAATGCTGGAATTTTTTGTTATTATAATCTAAATTATTTTTTTTAATAATATCGAAAAATTTCTCATTTTCTTAATTATATATTAAATGAAAAAGACATACCAATATGCGGTGCTCCATTAATCGTAAATTTAACACAGTTTCTTTTATTTCTGGAACAAATTAGAGGATAACACTTTAACGTTATTAAACGACGAAGTGTAGATCAAATTTTCTAAGAATTTTTTTTCTGTTCACTTTTATACTGTATAATACAAATAAATAGATAAAAAATACTCGAAGAATTTTTTGAATTAAAATAAGAGATTTTGAATCTTATGTCAAATTTAATTCATGTCAAAATTTTGCTCTGACTGTTTAGCCTGTCATTGTAATAATTTTTGTACATTATCAACTTTTAATAAAGACTTACACTGTTTCCATTTTCAATCATCAATCGTGTTGACGCAGTAGAATTGCGACTTCCTATTCTTCGTGCACAGAGTTCTACTAAGCTCTCATAAAATGTACAAACACTTTTTAAAAATATAATATCAGTAAAATTATTTAAAATATCAGAAATAAATTTCAGAACAGAATATCAGAATGGATAAAGAAAAAAAAAGTGAGTCGATCTGGATGATAAATGCATATTTATTTAATTTTAGGAAATCAAAAATATAAATATAAAAAAATAAAATAAACATAAATAATATGAATATTCGCAAACGTTTTAACTTTTAAGGGGTAACACCACTTTGACTCTCTGAAATTTAAGGGAATTTTTTTTTTAAGAAATGCAAAGTGTTTATAAAAATCCATTTACACTAATTTATTATACATATATTAAAGTAGAAATTGTATTTTTTTTAGTTGATATATTAAAAAATGACAGCTTGATAGCTGATGGACGGGAAAAAAGCGATGAACACGATAGCTCATCGTAGACTTGATTTAGAATAATGAAAAAAAAATTAGTATTTTTAGTCCAAAAGCTAGTAGAATACATAGGATTTTTTCGAAATATTGATATCTCGCTTTTCTGTGTAACTTTAAATAACGAAATTTTTGATTAAAAATTTATATTTTACTTTGAATCGATGCCATATCCCTAAAAACGCGTATTTTTTAAAACAGCTATATATTCTACTTTTTGACTAAAAAAAACTAATTTTTTTTGTTTCATTGTTCTATGTCAAGTCTACGATGAATTATCGTGCCCATCGGCTTAACTCTCTTTTTTCGAAGCGCTGCCGCCCATCAACAGTCAAGCCATTTTTTAATATATCAACTCAAAAAAATACAATTTCTACTTTAATATATGTATAACAAATTAGTGTAAATGGATTTTTATAAACACTTCGCATTTCTTTAAAAAAAATTCTCAAAAAAGCCTTAATTTAAAGGAGTCAAAGTGGTATTACCACTTAAGAAGATCATCTTTAATGTGATCTTCTTTTTCCATTTTTTTTTACATAACACAATATTGTAATGATTACTATTGTTGTACAATATCAATTATAGACACGAAGGTTACGTTTTTACCGATAACATAATTTTTTTAATAGTAATAAAAACTTGCATTATTGCGCGCGTGCTGTTTGCATCGTCACCTGTCAGTCGTACGTATGCATTAATAATTACTCTAAAGATATCTCGATTATTCAGAGATGTCAAATAGAAGAACGTTATTTAAAAGTATAATAACTTAGAAACAGCAATTAGCAGATATTAATTTTTTTTTGCTTTTGAAGCAAAAAATAATTATGCAGCAATAAATGATAAGACTGCGCACAAAAGCGACATTGTGAAACTGAAGTTCATGAAATACTTTTCTAATGACTACAACTCCGTTTATAAATAGATTCGTATTTACATAACTGTAAGTGTAGGCACATTGTTATAGAATAATGTGATTTTCGCACGACTGATTAAAGAGAAAAATCATAAAAAATTATTTTGTGATAAATTCAGCAAATAGGAGAGCATTTTCTTTGCTTCTGAATTTCTTATAATATTTAAATATATGTAAAAACTTAAATATACTCACCCGCAAAAAAAACAGGCCACTATAACATTTTAATGGTCCGTTTTTTTTGTGAATAAATATAAAATAAAAGTTATAAAATTCAGCAAAAATGTATTCAAGTCAAACTTATAAATGGTATTTTGTCAGTCATACTTTTAAATTATAAATTATTTTTGCGATAAATTCTTATTTTATGTTTTTTTGAATAATTGCATGTTTTTTTACGGGATTTATAAGTTATTAATAATTTACAAGATACAGCTTAATATTATCATTTGTTAAAGCTACGAAAGTGGAATATTTTTAACAATATCTCATTGTTAAAATGTATGAATAAAGTCAACATCGTACGTTTCTACATTACCCAACTCTAGCTTTTTTAATTTTAATTATTACGTATTTTTCTAATAATTTTGTCTTCTTCTATCAGGAATTTTTTGAAAAATTATGAAGTCTTAGTTAACATAGAAAGTGCAATATATTTGGTAATTTTGAATATATATCTTAAATAAATTTGTGTTTCATAAGTGATTAATTGTAAATTTCGTAAGAAAGTTGGAAAATTTTTAAGTACAATATAATAGTTTTAAATTATAAATGGGCTTATAATGAGGATTAT